GATGAAGGGAGAGAAGCTTTAGCTCAGAAGCTGGATGAGGATTTGGACAAATTTATGGAGAGTTTAGTGGACAGGAAGGTGAGTGGGGCTGAGGCTTACCGTGCTTTTCTTTTGGCGAAGGGGTGACAGTTTTATTTCGCTGACGAACAACTGAAGCGAAGCTGAAAAGACGCAAGTGGGTTTTGTCAAATCATTTAGCAGTGTTTAGCTGTGTGCGGTGGTGTGTCTTGAGGATATTAAGATTTGCTCGTGACGTAGAGTTTTAGAGGATTGAAGCAAAGAAGCCATTCGATTTTGATGAGTGGTGTAAGGACTTGGAGCAACATCCTGCATTTATGACAGAGTTAAAACTAGACGAGCATGGCGAGTACTCGGAAGCCGTTCAGGCTTTACAGGTTCGCTGGATGGCATGTTCAGTTTTTTTTTTTGGTTATGTGAGACTTCACCAGTAACAGTAGCAGAATTGGTTGTAACAAAGTTTTCTTTGTGGCCACCGGTCTATTGTTTCATGAAGCTGTGGTCTAGGCGCTGAAGTATGAAGAAGGTTCCTCACCTCAAGAAGTGGTAGAGAACGCAGAGCAGCATAAGGAGGAGGGGAATAAATACTTCAAATATAAGAAATATAGATGGGCTACAGACTGTTACTCCAATGGTAAAAGTTATGATGTTTAACTAGAATTAAAGAAACTTCAAATATGACTGATTGTAAACCTGATAGTTAATCTAATTTCTTCATTGTTTTTAGGGATAAAACTGATGTGTGTGGATAGAAAATTAAATTCAATTTTGTATGCTAACAGAGCGGCGGCACAAAAACGTTTATTAAATATTCGTTCGGCGTTACGGGATTGTGTATTCGCTCGGAAGTTTAATTGCCACAATTACAAGGTGTGTTGCCGGAAACAAAAAATTTGTGCTGAATAGCAGTTGGACCAGCAAATGATCTAAAATTAAAAACAGTTTTAGGCAGTTATTCGTGCTGCGGAATGCTTGATTGAATTGGGTTATGGCCGGCAGTGTTTGGACTGGATTGATTCTAGCAAAGCTTTGATGGAGTTAAGTACTGAACCGGAATCAAAAAATGGAGGTGATTTAACTTTACTGTTTTATCGAAAAGTTTTCTGTTCAACTAATTAAGCACTGAAATTGTGTCATACAGTATCAACCACTCCAGAAGAATTTGTTTTATTACTGTTAAAAGGTTTGGGTCATTTTCGTCTTACGTTTTTTCAATCTAATCAGTGATGGCGTATATGGAATGCAAACCTTTTTTTAATTTCTTCCAAAGATTATGCGGCATTAGTGCCAGTAGATTTCGAGGTGAATGTTACGTTTAAGGCGGATCAAGAAGAAAGGCGTTTTTGGAACGGTTGTCGGAACTTGAAGGGTCGGCTCTGCAATGCAAACTGATAGAAGAAAGAAATGCTCGGAAAGATAAACTTGCAGTTGGGTTTCTCACTGTCTTCGATAATAGTTTTTTTTGGTACTTTTTGCATAAGCAATATATCTGTAAAATTTCTCACTTATTGGAACAACTATTTTTTTCAGCTTGCAAAAGAATTTGCCGCAAAAAAGAAATTGTTACAAGCATTTGCGGAAAGAGAGCTTTCTTTCAAACCTTCCTTCCCATTTGATGCTCCATCTCTTTTTGAGTGGTCTGAAGTAGAAGTGAGCCTACCACAAACGCATTCGGTAATCTTTTAAAGTTTTGTTCAGTACGATTTATCGCGGTTTTTTCATGAGTAACATCTAAAGTTTTTTGTGAAAGTTTTGGTTTGCAAAAGTTGCTCCAGAAATTGCATTCTTGAAAAATGTTTCTTGACTGTTGCTTCTGGCGCACGATAAGTGAATCAATCTTTTTTTCTCGGTGCTAATGAACATTTTTAGCGTCACATGGTGTATTTGGATGATGAAGGTTTTTTACAATGGCCTCTATTAATTCAGTACCCGCAGTTTGGTCAAGTTGATTTTTTGAAAGATTGCTGTGAAGATAGCACTCTAGAACAGGTTTTGAACGTTATCTTTCAGCATCCAGCTGACTGGGACGTTACTCATTTAATAAGGCAAAAATTTTTTTTGAAATTTTTTGTTATATACGGTTTTTTTCAAAGGCAAAGAAGAGCGTTTATTTCTTAGTGAAAATGTAAGCAAATTTTCATAACTGATTTGCTCTTGAATAATTTAGATCAGACAATGTTCGTTATTTCATTTCTCTTGATATTCCTGATGAGGAACAGGTAGCCGAAGTTTTTCAACAGGAAACGCTAAGAGCAATTTTTAGTACCAAGGACTACACAATTAAGCAGGGTTTGCCCGTGATTCAGGTGAGATGAAAGCAGATTCAAATTTGCTTTTAATAATAATATCTTTATTGTGATAATTAAAGATTGTTGGAAGAATTGGTTCTATATTACGTCATCATTGATGAGCAGAATCTATTCAGAAGTTGTCGATCGAAGGTAATCGTTAACGGCTTATTTACTATAACTTTTTTTAGGTCTACACAAAAGAACAAGCTGGGAAAAGTTTTTCTAGTCTGTCAGAAAACAGATATAAAGTTTTATAAAAAAATGGAAATAAAGAATGTAATGTAGAAAGTTTCTCATTTTGTTGTTGCTATTAATATCAGCTGTTGTTGGTTTCTGTTCAAGTGCTTTCTTAGTTGTCTCAATGCTTTCTGAAACTGGCTTTCATTATGCATATATGTATATTTTTCACTGTGCATTAGGAGACTTGATGTACGGCGCATTGGGGAAGAGAAAGAAGTCAACATTAATTTTTTGTTTTTTGTTATGCTTCTAGTTCTCGCTGAATATATGTGCCTAATGCCTAATGAAGTATTGGCTATTAATAAAGTGCCGAAAAGTCTAGGACAGATTTTCATTTGTTTTTATTATCATACGCCGGTTATTGCAACTTTCGTAGGGCTCTTTGTTTTGGCTTTTTTCAGCAGTACTCCTTTCATTTGCTCCTTTTTTTTTGTATCACTTTGTGTCATTCGCTAATCAGGAATTACCGTAATTGGTTTCCTCTGGAAAACGGCAATAGCAGTATAGTTCAACAACAGTTTATGCTATGGAAAGTATTTGTTTTATGTTAGTTTTTGAATTAAGTTTTGAATAATCTTATCAAGGAATTTGTGCTTTAATTAATCGAAATGATATTTTATTGCTGTTTGTAAACTGCGCTGTGAAAGTTGAAGGGGTTGTTGCTGTGGCGTACTACTTTTTCTCCAACTCTTTTCAAATTTCCTTGTGTAATTTGCAATTCTTTGGCGTTTTATCTACCATTATGTAGAATTATTTCCAATTTGCATTTTTTTTTTCATTTTTGGTAGAAGGCAAAGTGGAGATGAAGCCGTGAAGACCCGGGGAAAAGAAGGAGTTGAATAGTAAACAGATGGGCAGTGGGAGAAAATGGCAAATAACTAATTCTCATATTGTCCAGCGTAAATCTGTAGTACAATTATTATGAGTGTAATGAGCGTTTTTCAAAATAAGAAAGAGGACTTTGTTTAAAAAGCAGAGTCTGCAAAAAAGTTCATTTCCTCAAAAATTGGTAAGTCATCAACAAACTGCTCGATTTGCAATAATTATTCATTGAATGTTAAAATCAATCAGAGCAAGGCAACTTTGGAAAACACCGTGTAAACATTTCATCATTTTCCTGATGTGTGATAGTCGTGCGTGAACGTTGTACCAAATCAAAAAATGGGGCCAAAAAATTAGTTTTTTTGGGGGGACTAGTGGAGCCGATACATGTATTAACAGCAGCATATCTAGCATTT